GAATTCTGGGAGTTGAAGTCCACTCATCTTAAAGTGGCTAAGTTTGGACAACACTGTTCTAAGCTACTACCAGGTGAGCAACATGAATAGTTACTGAACTCCAAGCATACCTTACCATTGGCTAAAACAGCAAGTAAAGTTACAGTTCAATAACATTTGGATGGCCACATGATGTGATGCTTATCTTAAAAGACTAAAAGCCAAATAAAATATGGAGCCTTGTTATTATCTCTGACTCCTTTGAAAATTCCATTAGGATCCGTACTACAGGACTAACATTTTTCCGCATAGAAATCCAAGACATGAAGTTTTTTCCATTTCTAAACCTGCCCTGAGGGGAGATTTCACAATCACCAATTTTTGCTGCAATTATAGAGTGTCTTTCTCTTATTTTTTATTTTATTTATTAACAGTGTTTATAGGCCATCCCAATCCATACAGACTCTGGGTGGCTAGTGACAATTCCAATATATACTGCATCACATTATAATTTGTATAGGTTTTTTTTTAACATTATAATTAGATGCAAGTTATTTTGTCAGTAAAGACTTGAAAAAATAAAATTCAAAAATCACAGTTCAGCTGTGAAAGTACAATAGCAAAAAGAATATTTTATAGGCTAACAACCAGCCAAAATAGACAAAGAGAACTAGAACATATCATTCAGAACACATTCACATAAACTAGGCTTGGAGCATTAATACTAAACAATTCTATAAACTAATTAACAATATTTTTTAAAAATTAAGCAACAACGAAAAACAGCTGAAAACATTAAATCTTTCATGGGAATGCTTATTGAAATTAAAAAAGCCTTCAGGCCATGTTAAAACACAGCCAAGAGAGAGAACAGACAAATATTTTTAAGACTGCCAAACTAGTTTTGCTCTCAGCAGGCATCTTCCTGATTGCTTTCAATATCAGACGAAAGACCAAGGCTCAGAGACCAATTATAATAATTAGGCAGATGCAAGCAAATACAGTAGGGTTTTGAAGTTCCAAATTTATTTATTATTTATTTATTTACTGGGTTTACAGGTCACTCCAGTTGCTAACAGCTCTGAGAAATCTGCACTTCAGAGTAGACCAAGGGGAAAAGAAAACATCTGCCCTGGAATATCTTAATCCAGCTAACACCGGAGCAGCTGTGTTTTGAATCAATTAGTATTTCTGGTCTGATCTGAAAGTCACTTTGACATCAGAAGGATTAGGGTTTAATCTGTATGTAATCTGTACATGTATTCTAAACGCTAGTCACTACTGAAAGAGACTAGAACATCAGCAGAAGCTGTACAAGATGTCCCTATCCTAAGCATTATAGCATAACCTGCAAGAGTCCCAAGCATATCCTTATTTGAGTGGGGGGCTGAAATGTCTCCTGTAGAGAACAAGTTGTAGATTTTCTTGCATATATAAGCACCACGCTTTCATCTTATCTGGAATAAGACAAAGGAATCCTATAAGAAAATATAGAAGCCTAGTGAAGAGAAACATAAGTTGATACTTTCCACCAGTTTATTGTCAAATTGGTGTCACGTTTAATTCATTATTTTTGTACAACGATGGCTATTTGGATATCTATGTTATTTAGGTGGCAAGAGCTACCCAACTACCCAGGAGTATGAAATAACCAGCATTAATATTGAAGTCAAGATAAGCTACTGGTTAGAATAAGGACCATCTAATTTTGTTGGTCGCTACATACCACAACTAGTGAATTCAGTACGAAACCACCATTTCTCAAAAATAAATAAATAACCATGGAAGCTGACACAGCCAAACCAATGATGTATCCAATCATTTAAATAAGCAGAAGTGAGACCTCCGTATAAAATAAGTCTTTTGCACGTATTGTGGGATAATATAACTGATCCTAAACTATTTAGAGGATTGTATAGTAATGCCAATAGTTCAAACGTGGCTTAGCAGCTTGGCTGCTAGTACAAAACTTTTAGAACAAATGCAATGTCTGCCTCAGAAGGAATCACAGTCAATAATGCAGTCATTGTTTTCTACCCTGATTTGATTTTGTAAATTCTAGAAGCAGCTATATATGGAGCACATTGTACAAATCTGGACTTGCATGTATGGATCACAGGGTCTGAGTCATCTTTGTCCAGGGAAGAAGCACTTAGTGCACTAACTTTAGAAAGCAACAGGCATTTCTGGCCATGGATATTCTTTAATACCAGATGCAAATATTAGATCCTGCAAACGTTTATTTTCATCCATATTTTTTTCCTCATCTTTAACTGGATCCACCCCTTGGAGCTGCTCTTGGTTTTCAGTAGCCAGGTTTCCACAAGAACCCTGCATGTTGCTTCATATTCTACAAATGAAAGGTCTTTCAAAGTGTTACTGAATTGAAATTCCACACTTCTTGAGTAAGGCCTGCAACTGTCTTCAAGGTGAATAAAATCACCCTTCTGTGAGATATTTGATAAAGCACACATTTCACCAACACAAGTCACTCTACTAAAACAGGCAATGTATGACAACATATTGCTTCCTATTTTCCCTCTCTGTAAAACCACTTGTGGGGCATCCTAAAAAGTTCCATTCCCCTGGGGTCTTTATGTAGTAAACAGCAATGCTCAAATAGCAGCTTTTTCATGTGGCACCCATATTATCAGACTGCATAATCTGGCTTCCTGGTTGGTCAAGAGAAGACCCAGGACTCTTAGGAGTAGAGCACTTGCTTTTCATGCTGGAGGCTTATAGCCTAAGTTCCCATATCAGCATAAGCCATGGTTTGTTTTATCTTTTTTTGGTATAAAATATAATTGGCCAGGTTTAAGCATCTTGCTAAGCCAGTTCAGAGCAGTTGGCATGTAATCTGAAGATGGATAAAACATCATTGTTAGTCCTTTGCCATGGACAGATCACTTTCTAGTCAATCTGCAGCTCATCCTCTTCTGTGACCTCCACAAGGGTGAGAGGCTGATTAGGATACTTAGCCCTAGTGGTTTATGGATCTGGTGGGATTCCAATTGGTACCTGGGGATTTTCCCAATGATCCCAGCACCCCAGTGGCAAGTGTGGTAATCCCATATGCCCTGCCAGTGATCTAGGCAAACTTTCCTCCAGGAGACCCAGGCAACAGTTAGAGAAAGAGCTGGAGCACCATCAGTGCTGACAGATACCAGACATACTCCTAAAGTTACTGGAGTGGAGGTCCTAGAGTGTGTAGTTCCAGACCAAGCACCCACACAGAGATAAGATTTCAGAAGTTTACCTCATGTTGCAAAGGGTTTTGAAGCAGTGGCTAGCAGCAGAGGTTTACAGGAAGGGAGAGCTTGCCTGTAATAGGTCCAAGTCAATAGATGGGT